CACCTGATGCAAAGAGCTGACTCACTGGAAAAGACCCTGATGCTAGCAAAGATTGAAGGCAGAAGGATAAGTGGATGACAGAGGATAAATTGGTTGGATGGCATCACCAACTTTATAGACAGGAGTTTGAGTAAACTCCAGGAGTTGGTGATGGACAGGGAGGCCTGGCGTGCTGCAGTCCATGGGGCCCCAAAGAGTTGGACATGACTGAGTGACTGAACTGAACTGAATACCATACACAAAGATAAACTCAAAATGGATTAAGGACCTAAAAGTAAGACCAGAAACTATAAAACTCTGAGAGGAAAACATAGGCAGAACACTTGATGACATAAATCAAAGCAAGATCCTCTGTGACCCGCCTCCTAGAGTAATGAAAATAAAAACAAAAGTAAACAAGTGGGACCTGATTAAACTTAAAAGCTTTTGCACAGCAAAGGAAAGTATAAGGAAGGCGAAATGACAACCCTCAGAATGGGAGAAAACAATAGCAAATGAAACAACAAAGGATTAATTTCCAAAATATACAAGCAGCTCATACAGCTTAATACCAGAAAACAAACAACCCAATCAAAAAGTGGGAAAAAGACCTAGACAGACATTTCTCCAAAGACATACAGATAGCTAACAAACACATGAAAAGATGGTCAAGATAGCTCATTATTAGAGAAATGCAAATCAAAACTGCAATGAGATATCACCTCATACCAGTCAGAATGGCCATCATCAAAAAGTCTACAAGCAATAAATGCTGTAGAGGGTGTGGAGAAAAGGGAATGCTCTTGCACTGTTGGTGGGAACGTAAACTGATACAGCCACTATGGAAGATGGTACAGAGATTCCTTAAAAAACTAGGAATAAAACCACCAAATGACCCAGCAATCCCACTCCTAGGCATATACCCTGAGGAATCCAAAACCAAAATAGACACATGTATCCCATTGTTCATTGCAGCACTATTTACAATAGCTAGAACATGAAAACAACCCAGATGTCCATCAACAAATGAATGGATAAAGAAGTTGTGGTACATACACACAATGGAATTATACTCAGTCATAAAAAGGAACACATTTCAGTAAGTTCTAACAAGGTGGATGAACCTAGAACCTATTATACAGACTGAAGTAAGTCAGAAAGAGAAAGATAAGTATCATATTCTAACACATATATACTAAATCTAGAAAAAATGGTACTGAAGAATTTACTTACAGGGTAACAATGGAGAAACAGACATAGAGAATAGACTTATGGACATGGGGAGAGGGGAGGAGAGGGTGAGATGTATGGGAAGAGTAACATGGAAACACGTTACCATATGTAAAATAGGTAGCCAATGGGAATTTGCTCTATGGCTCAGGAATCTCAAACAGGGGCTCTGTGTCAACCTAGAGGGGTGGGATGGGGAGGGAGATGGGAGGGAGGTTCAAAGAGAGGGGATATATGTATACCTATGGCTGATTCATGTGAGGTTTGACAGAAAACAGCAACAAAATTATGTTAAGCAATTATTCTTCAATTAAAAAAAAATTAAAAAGAGAGACTCTCATACAGTTAAGTTTGACAAATTGGAAGCATCTAGTAAACTTGACTCAGGTATTCTACTTATAGAGAAACTCTGGCACATTTCAGCAGGAGACAGGTGGAAGAATGTTAACAGGAGGATAGGCAGATTTTAGACTATTCCATGATGGATGCTGTACAGGAGGCAAATGCACTGATCCACTGTAACACTGGCTTTTCTGATAGTTCAGCTGATAAAGAATCTGCCTGCAATGCAAGAGACCCCGGTTTGATTCCTGGGTCGGGAAGATCTGCTGGAGAAGGGATAGGCTACCCACTCCGGTATTCCTNAGAAGGGATAGGCTACCCACTCCGGTATTTCTGGGCTTCCCTTGTGACTTAGCTGTAAATAATCCACCTGCAGTGCGGGAGACATGGATTCAATTCCTGGGTTGGGAAGATCCCCTGGAGAAGGGAAAGGCTATCCACTCTAGTATTCTGGCCTGGAGAATTCCATGGACTGTATAGTCCATGAAGTTGCAAAGAGTCAGTCACGACTGAGCGGCTTTCACTTTCATAGTAACATTTGTCAGTATGAATCATGTTATAATGAGTGAATAAAAAAGTCGTACAACTATATAAACTAAATCATACCATATATGTAAAGTTTAACAACAAAAAAAGCAATACTTTAATTCTGGCTATATCCAAACATAACAAGCATCTAAAAGCATGGGTGGAAGGGCATCAGCTTCCGTGGCTCCTTATGCAGAGGAAGAGAGGAGAGAGGAGGGGGTGAAATATACTGGGTTGTGCCATCTTCCTCCTCTAGATTTTCTGAGGTGATGCCATCCAGCACTCAGCAAGCACCCAGTGTATATTTGGTGAGTGAGTGAATGAATGAATCTAGTCCCACAAGATGAGAATCTTAAATACCATCTGAATGCAGGTAATCCCGAATTTGTATCCCAGCAAGGACCTCCTTTCAGACTTCAGACCATTTCCTCTCAGCTGCCTAAGGCCTGTAATACTCCGGGCTCCATTTACACTATCTTTCTTTTTTTGGCTGCACCACACGGGATTTTAGTTACCTAACCAGGCATTAAACCTGTGCTGCCTGCAGTGGAAAGGTGGAATCTTAACCACTGGACCACCAGGGAAGTCCCTTCACCACCATTTTTCTCTGCCTTTCATGTTTCAGCACATGGCACTCCCATCCAAACAGCTGCTCCAGGCAAAACTGCCAGGTCATCCTCAGTCCAGGCCTTTATGGGAGACCTTGTTTCCCAGCTTATCACATGCAGGGGGCTCTTTGACACAGATCCCTGAGCTCCTGTCTTAGTGGTTTACAAGTTACATCTCTCTGCGGTCACATCCAGATGCTGAGCTGAACTGTTCTGTTGGCAAGTCCCTGTCTAGGACCTCAGAATGGGAGGGCAGAGCAGTCAGCCAAGTTGGGCGGCACAGCTGACCCTCTGAGACGCAGCTGCACAGGTTTGGGTCCTGAAAGACCCCTGCTGACCCACAGTGTTCTGCAGTAGTACCTTGCAAGACTTGTGATGGCCACTGCAGACACCTCCCGCTGGACAGCGCTGCTTCCATGGCTCAGAGGAGCCAGATGGCTGTTGTTGGCAAGATTCCTGAATAAGGAAAATTTAAAAATATCTAGCCTGCCTTTCTTTATGGATAGAGAAATGTGATTTACTTTTAGATAACTCCCACCCACCAGCCAAATTTCAAAAGGAAATACATAAGTGGCTTATAGCTGAGCAGTCATAGTATAGTGGGGCTTTTCTATCAATACACTAGTGTTTCCCAACTGATGTTCCAGGAGAGGGTTAAAAGATATGCTGAGATACTGACCCTCTCAGGCCTTGGGGCAACTAGCAAAGCCCCAGTCTCCTTCTGCTTTGGGTAGCCCTGTCAGTTTCCCCCTGTGTGCTGTACAAATGTTAATTTCTCTGGTGCCTGAGGTGAGGAAGCTGGGAAGCAGTGTCCTAGACTGATTACAGAGCTGAATGAAATGTTTCCTTATGTAGCAGCCTTGGAAGACTTCCTCATAAATGCAGAGGCTTGAATTAAAGATAAGAACCCATGTAGCTCCTAAGAGAGAAAGGTGTGTTCCCAGGGCAGGAGGTGAGAATTGGCTGCCTCCAGAACATGAATGATTCTGCTGGGGTAGACCCAACATTCAGCAAGGTGAAAGAGGAGAACAGTAAGGAGAGAGAACTGGTCTCTAGGTGAATTAGAATGGACAAGGAGCAAGCGCCCACCACAGTCCACACTGCCTTACCCAGAGTGCCCCTCCCATCCCACCCCGCACAAAGCCAGTAAGGAACAGAAAGGTGTAGCACCATCAAAGCCATCATTTTTCTCCCAGTTACATCTAAACTGAGCTTCTCTGGCGGCTCAGCTGGTAAAGAATCGGGAGATTCTTTGCAATGTGGTAGACCTGGGTTTGATTCCTGGGTTGGGAAGATCCCCTGGAGAAGGGAAAGTCTACCCACTCCAGTATTCTGGCCTGGACTGATTAGTCCATGGGGTCGCAAAGAGTCAGACAAGACTGAGCGACTTTTACTCACACCTAAACAATTAGTGGCAATCTCATTCTCTCAATCCATTAGAACTTTCCAAATGAAGTTGTCTCATTTCTAAAGGAAATGGTTGGCAGTCATTTGTGATTATAACTTGAGTAATCTTAAATTCCCCAACTTGAAGAAATGCTGAACAGTTAATTATGGAAAGCTACTGCTGCTGCTCCTGCTAAGTCACTTCAGTCGTGTCCAACTCTGTGCGACCCCATCCCTGGGATTCTCCAGGCAAGAATACTGGAGTGGGTTGCTATTTCCTGCTCCAGGGGATCTTCCTGACCCAGGAATTGAATCTATATCTCCTGCAGCTCCTGCACTGGCAGGCAGATTCTTTACCACTGAGCCACCTGGGAATGTCCTGGCCGGTGTTGGCAGGGGCAAAATCACCCCAAGTGAGAACCACTGATTCAAAAGATGTATCTTGAGCCCCTGTGCATTGTGTAAGACTTTGGGGATATAACAGTCTGTCTTCAAATAACTTACACTATGTTCAGTGAGCCAAACCCTAAGGAATCAAACACATAGTAATATGTAACCACACATCTGTAAGTATCATGAAGTAGAGAATACATACCACAATATAAATCCCCTCACTTAGATGGGAAGGAAGATCTTGCTAAGGAAATGGAACTCAAAGGCTCTATTGGAAGGTTAAGGAGGAGTAGTCAGGGAAGATGGGGCAGGCATTTCATGAAGAAGACATAGTACGTACAAAGGCCCTGAGATGAATGGCATGCTCACAGATCAGAAAGGCAGTACAGCTAAAACATGATAAGAAAGATGATGCATGACCTAAGATGAAATCAGGGAGTAGGCATGGACCAGATTATGGATTTAACAGGTCATGTTCAAGAGTTCCAAGTTACTTCTATGTCCCAATGGAAGCTGCTGTGTAGCACTGTTTGAAGTATTAGGAACATATATGATACAAAAGACAAGGTCTATATCCTCAGAAATCTTCTGCTTTCTGCAGAAACTGGTTTATATATAACAGTATTCTCTGTTGCTGTGTGGAAACAATTGGAAAGAATCCAGGGTGGCCACAGATGGAGCACTTAGGAGGCTGTGGTCATAGACCAGGAGAGAAATGTCAGTGGCTTGGACTGGAGTGGTAGCATTCCAGGTGTAGAGGGGCAATTGCATAAGAAAGAATGGTGCCCAGAGGCCTCCAGATTTGGAGGGACTTTTAAGCTTATCTAATTTCTGGGGCTTCCCAAGTGGCTCAGTGGTAAAGAATCCACCTGCTAATGCAAGAGATGCAGAAGATGCAGGTTTGATCCCTAGATCAGGAAGATCCCCTAGAGGAGGAAATAGCAACCCACTCCAGTATCCTTGCCTGGAAAGCCCCATGGACAGAGGAGCCTGGTGGGCTGCAGTCTATGGGGCTGCAAAGAGTTGGACATGATTGAGCACACACCCACATACAATCTAATTTCTACATGATGTTGATATGCCTTTTTTAACAACCAGAGCAGAAGATGTACATTCTCCTGCTTGTTCATTACCTGTTTCTTTTTCATATGGTGCTAAAATCTGCCTTTATCTAAAAGGGGTCTATGTGCTTCCTTCAGACATTGAAGTTAACCCCTCTTCAAGCTAAATATTCTCATTTTCTTCAGTTTATCCTCATGTGACATGGCACCAAACCCTTCACTACTCTGCATATCTTACAAGTACCTATTCCCATCCACAGCCACCACCCTACTCTGGACTGTCTTATGTGTAACACAGACAGCACCACTCCATTAATACACAACTTACCACTTTCACATTCACCCAAAGAAAGTGAGCACAAATTTAAAGTCAAGCCCTGATGATGTCTGTACTATTAGCTTTATTTTTGTGTAATTTTGTTTCTATCTCAAGATTTCAGAATATATACACCTTTAGGAATTAATCACGATTTGTCCATTAGTGAAAGTAAGCAGCTGGCCCTGGTGTGCAGGCCTCAAAAGTTATTGCAAGGATTACTGAACAAAATAAACTTTGACAATGAGAAAAAATATGCTGAGGATAAAATTATGAATAACCTCTTCCACAGCACTTCCATACACTCTGGGAATGACATCTGCAGCCACGGCTTCAATAAAATTGCAGAGCTGTGCTTCTGAAAATGCCTTAACTAAACTCTGTGCTCGGGACCTGTGGCTTTACAGTAATGTCAAAAGCCCAGGAGGTCATGAATGACTCATAATGTCCCACTGCTTTCTGAATGGCTCCACACTGAAATCCACAGTTGGCAGTGAAATAAAGAACACTATAATAAGCACTTTATGCTGTTTTGAAAGAAACTTTTAGCTTTAACTGAATGAAAAAAGTGTATTCAATAAAAGAGTTTAATTTTCTAAACTACTATCAAAATACATTCCTTTCTATTATATTAGTTCTTATTATGCAAGTTGACAAGGTTACAGAAAAAAAAACAATTGAGTTTTTCCCTTTTCTTTTTTCTCCTCAAAGGAGCTTTGTTAAATTTAAATTGGATTCTCTGAAACTTGGCTATACATGGACATTTCCTGTCAGTTATCTGGAATATGAAATTTCTAGACCAGTGCTTCTCAAACTTTAATGTACATATGAATCACCTGAAGTTCTGTATGAAATACAGATTCTCATACAGAAAGTATCTAGTGGGGCTTGAGAGGCTGCTTGTCTCATCAGCTCTGGGTGATGCTGTGGCTGACAGTCAGGGACCACACTGTTGTTAGCAGGTGGCTGCTTAGGTCAAAGACTCTCTCTAGATTTCTGCTCTTTGTAGAAAGAAGTTGAAGCAGAGGGTTGCCTAAGGGTCTTTCACATTTTAAAATTCCAAGATTGCAAACAATTTTGATTTCCTTAACTCACAGTCATGAGTCTTTTTAGTCCAGAATGGCAATATAAAATTACCAGTAAGTCTCACTTTGTGTAATAGACGGTTGTTTAAAAATAATTATTAAGTCACCTTATAAAATGACTCATGTCTTTAATTCTCCAGAGAAATGTACTATTTACAGAACTCTGGTTTTCTACAAAGGAAAGAATCTCAAAGTGCTTGGTGCCTTGTTTCAATGTTTTATTTGTAAGGATTTTTCAGCATAGAAGATCTATGTAACACGAAGTCTACCACTCTTGAGTGAATTAACACCTAATGTCAACTACCAGCAACTCAAAGCGAAACTACTATGCATTGATGCACTATAGTTTTCATAGAACATCAGATCTTCTTGACCTTGTATTAGTCAGACCATACTTAGAAGAAACTAGTGTCCATTTAAAGAAGAATCTGGATAAAAAAGAAAAAAAAATCACAAATTCCAGTGAGCTCCCATAGTCCTCTAGCTTGTTTCTAGGAAGGGAGCAGGAAGAGGAGATTGGAAAAACAAGCAGCGTGGGAGTACAGGACTTAGAAGCAGCACAGACAAAATGACCCCCAGAAAGAGGAAGTGAAACCATTAATGACCTGGAAGTTCATAACCCTTGCTAAAGAGAAGGGAGTCCCAAGGTGTGCAAGATAGGAAACGTCAGCCTCAGAGTAGCAGAACTTGAGAGGGAGAACCGGGTACAGAGATAAGAGTGGTATGTGGAGATGAGCAGTGAGGGGAAAGAAGGAAACAGAAGAAGTAAAGTAAGGCTCCTGCAGAAAAGAAAGAAAAATAAGACAAATAACTGCTTTAAAAATAATGATCCTGAGAATAGTATCTATCTTCTTTCCTTGCTCACAAACTGGAAAGATTTTTTGAGTGGAAAGAAAGAGGTATAGCCAGCATGTTACAATTGAATATAACGCCAAGGACCCCATGAGAACATATCCCACCACCTGTTGCATATGCAGTGGTCAAGAAGCATAATTGCTTGTCTAAAGCCAGGAGAGATAACACCCAACGCAGCAGCCAGCCATTCACGTGTGCTTTCTTAAGTGTGGTCAGTCTAAACTCAGAGATGCTAAATGTGTAAAACACACACTGAATTTCAAGGACTTACTATAAAAAAAGGATTAAAAATATATCATTAATGATTTTTTGTACTGATTGTTGAATGACTATATTAGCTTTAGATAAGACTTATAATCT